AAGAGGGAGAAGCCTGAGCCAGAGCCACTCCAGGAAGAAAGATCTGTCAGGAGACGCTGCGTTCTCACGTGGAGGTGCCCAGAGGCTGCTCCTCCAAGACCTGCCAGCTCTTTTTTTTCCTCCTGAAATACAACGTCTCCCCCGCCTCACCCAGCCCCAAGCCCCAGGGCGGAATGTAACATCTTGTAATGTGGCAATCACTGCCAAACCCGTCCCCGCCAGGGGAACTCCCGCCGGGGGCGTGGGGGGGGGGGCGGCTGGAGAGATTGGGCCTCCACCTTCGTCTGCACTGGTGTGCGTAGTGCAGACTGGGGGCAGCCTGCCCTGAAAATCCCAGGTGGGCAGGGAAGACCGGTCTCGGGGAGGCTTCCTTGGGGCTGCTATAGGTATCATGACCCTATGAGAGACCGCCAGTCTCTGGAGAGCCCAGTCCCCCAGCGCGACACCCAGGCTAGCTGGCCACCCAAGGGCTTCTAGCACCGTGGAATCCAAAGTTGAATCTAAGAGCACTGTCTTTTAGGAGGAAGAGATCGGCATTTTCTTTCTGAAAGGAGTCTTTGACCCTAAACAAGTTAAAGCCACTGGTGGTCGCTGTTCCGTGCAGATAAAGGAAACGGCTTGTGACTTCTGGGCGAGTGTTGGGGGCGCCTGGAATGGGGCAGTGGCGTCTGGGTTTTATACAATCCTTAAGAACGACTTTTTGAAAGGCATGGGGGCTTTCTGCTCCCTGGCTTCGTTCTCCTTGGGGAGAGGGCTTCTAACAGAGGAGGGAACCGCTGGACCACTTCCGCGCTTCTTTCTCTACCCCGTCCCTGCCCCCAAGTCTTCTACCACAGAACTGTTTGTAAACAAAGCTTCAGTCTTCCCGCGCTCTCTCCGCCCCCACTAAACCTGATACTTCCCCCAAGCTCGCCCCATCAGTCTCGGAAATCCTTACTCAGGACGGATATTCACAATTTTCACAAGTGATCCTGAAAGAAGGCCGAGGGGAAGCCTCCTAAATGGTACCATATTGCAGCAGGGCTGATTATGGCTCGGGATCCGTGCCCTCTCCTTTCTGCCCTCCTTAGCCCCAGAGCTCCCGGGTGGGAGGAGGGAATTTGGGGAAACCAGAGGGGTTCTGCGCCCAGCCCAGAGCCACGAGGGGCAGAGGGGGCGGGGAGGGCCCGCGGCCGAGTGTACGCAGGGGGGTGGGAGGGGAGGAAGACTCGGATGTGCCTCGGCTGCCCGCAGCTGGCACTAGAATTCAGTGCCAGCGCTTTGCCCAAGTGCAGAGAGTTCTGCCAGTGGGTGGAGCGGAGAGGGACCGGCACCCCTCACTCTTCGCCCCCTCCCTCCCCGCTTCCCAGCGCTTGTCATATCCTGTCTCTGGCCTGATATTTTACGCGGGCAAATGGAAGGGGATTACAATGAAGATTTATGTGTGTTCCGAGCGCGGCTGCTTTCCCAGTGTAGCGAGCCGAAATCACTGCTTCCCATTTCCATTTTTCATTCTTGCTTTGGGGAGCTCAGTTGAAAGCGGGGCGGGGGGAGCGTGTCTGCGCGGCGGCGGGCTGATCACAGGGCTTCGCGTCTCCGGGCGGGCCGGGAGACTGTGAGAAAGGCTTGCCAGCGCGTCGCCCCCGGCAGGGCTGGAGCCGGCCCCCGTCTCCTGGAGCCGGGCTTTGTTTCTCCTCTCGCCCACCCCTCCGCCTTCCCGCCCCCTCACTTCTGCGGCGCGGGCGAGTCCCGGCGATCTCTTCTCTTTGCCCTTCTCCTGGTCTGTGGAAACGCCCCTTTCCCCTGGCCCCTGCACCCTCCCGCCCTCGGCTTTGCGGGCTCCCCAGGGAAAGGCGCGTGGTGGCCCAGCCCGACCCCGTTGCCGCCGAGTGCCAGGTTCGGTGACTCCGGCTAGTCTGTGGGGCCTCGGCCCACCCCTGAGAGGGGCCGCCCGCCCTCCCGGCTCCCAGGCTTGTCTCATGCCAAGGCCTGTTGCGTGATTCCAACTTGGGCTGACATTCCCTGCCCGGGGCGCTCCGGCGTAGGCCTCTTAATCATCTTGTCTACTGCAGATCCTCCACACCAGCCAATTTACTGCCCCGTCTCTCCCCGCTGGTTTCAGGAGGGGGGAGGGGAGTGCTCGTAAAGGAGGGGAGGGCACAGTCAACCGCAGGAGGAAGACTGGCACCAGCTACTGGCACTCAAACAACCCACGGAATTTGGAACTAGGGTGGGAGTTGGGGCACAGGGAAGTGGATCTGACAGGCAGCAGTTGCTTAGGGGAAGATCAGAATCGAGGGTCAATGGGTTTCAACTCTCTAGCTTGGGAAAACAATGCAGAAATGCAAAGGGACACTACATTGTGTAGCCTCCTTGTTTTTCCCCAGCCCCAACTCTGGACACTGTGGTAAAACAGACTTGGAGCAGTCTTCCAAATCAATCTGGCTAGAAAAGTCAGGGACCAGGATGATGCCACTGCACCCAGAAAGTCACCTCTGCCTTAACTCTGATTTTGGCAGAGATGAGTAGAAGACACATAACATGGATGGCCTAAATAACCGAGAGTAGGGAGCTTGAATCTGACAAGCAGGGTTCTCTGGCCTGTGCCCAACCTTCTCTCCAGTAGAGGCGGGTCCCTTGGAGGGAATGGCTGAGGTTCAAACCCTGTGTAGAAAGATACTGGAGCTCTCCCAAAACCCTGGGATGCTGCTCTTCCACACAAGGTGAAGTTGGAAAGATCTCTAGGTAACTGTGGACATCATAATCACAGACAAAAGTAAAGCATCTGTGATTTGGGGCATTGTGATAAAACGGTAATGCTAAATAAGAAATAACTAAATTTTAGTGCTTATCATATGCCAAGCACTGTTACATCATTGCCTTATTAAGGGTTCATTAAGTTGTTGCTCACAACAACTCTGAACCATAGCTGTTATTATTTCAACTATCTTATAGATGTGCAAACTGTAGAGGCTAAGAGGGTTGCCCAAGGTCACATAGTCAGTGATTGAAGCCAGCAAGCTCCTAACTGTAGGCCTCAGTACTTCCAGGGAAAGGGACTATTAGTTCAGGCCAGCATTACATCCCTACCTTTAACTTTTGCAGGGAATGCCAAAAAGTATAGAGTCACTTCCAAACCTGGGAGCTGATTGTGTGGGCCCTTGGTAGACAGCAGAGCTGAATGGTGTGTGGACCTCTCCCCTCGAACAGTGTGAGGTGCAGAATGCCACTCCCAAGGCAGTGTGCATCACTGAGTGTGCATATGTAAGTATGTCAGCATGAATGTGAATGTGTACGCATGAATTTGTGTCAATGTTATGTGTACAAGTATTTGTGCATTACTGCATTTGTGCATACTGCACTACTGAGGAAGTTCTAGTGTGCCATTGTGTGTGCCTGTGTGCAAGAGTGAGAGCATTGAATGTGACTGAGATTGTGTGTATGACTGTGTGCGCTAGCGTGGCACTGTGCGCCGGGTCGCCCTGCATTCCAGAGCAGCCAACCGTGCCTCCTGGAGGCGACTCAACAATTCTCGGCTCAATCAGCTCCCAAAGGGCCACCAGCATACAGAGGGGCGGGTCTAATGTGGGGGTCTGATCTTAGGCTGCAGCCGAACTCGGCCCGGGACAGCAGGTCCCCGGACCTGGCTCGGGTGCACCGCCTGGCCTAGGTGGCGGACGCGGGGGCGGCCCAGACCGCCCAGGCGCAGGGCCCAGGCGCCGGCGCCAGAGGGGCCAGGCGGGCAAGGCTGGAGCCGCCCAGCGCTGAGTGAGTCACGGCGCCGCGGGCTGGCTAACCCCGAGCCCGGACCCGGGCGGGGGCGGAGCTGAACCCTTTGCTGCGCCGGGCGAGGAGCGTGCCTGTCCTCCACCGGCCGCACCTCTCAGCGCTTGCAACCACCAAAAGGTGCAAAAGTCCGTTTCTGCTGACCGGGTTCGGGTCCTGGGCAGCAGCTTGCGCTCTGAGTGCATGACCGACGGAACCCCGGCACTCAAAATAAATACATAAATAAAATAAGAAAAAATAAAAAACCACACACACACTCCAATGAAAACAATAATTTATTTAAATAATCTCTTCATATTGTAAAATCAACATTAAGAGCATGTTGTTTTCATAATAAATAATCCCAAAATACCTTGCATTTAAAGAACAAAGACTTTAGGATAAGATAAAACAAATTCAAATCAGTAGCTTAATTTAACTGACAGTTTTTTTTTTTTTTTTCAAAGGGAAAAAGAAACGGAGGGTTGCTGAGGTCACTGCTAAACCGCAGTTTTCACAACTGGGGGTTTACAAAAAAGGTGAAAAGATGAGGATTTTTACACAAATCAGTGGGAAATCTGCACAGACACTTTTATTTACAAACTCTGTGTCGAAGTCCAGGCTAATAATCCTGAATAAATTTTAAAAAAGATAATTTAAACACATTTTTGCAGTGTCCACATATTAAAAAATCATTTTCTCCAACATCAAAATGAGGTCATCCGCAAAGGCACCTAAACTTTTAAAAAAATAAAAATAAAAAAACTCCACTGGTGATGGATGAGGAGAGAGCTGAGGGAGCGTTGGTGGGGTGAGCTTAGGTGGGAAGGGATTGGGGGCACCGGGGGCTGGGAACAACCCCGCAGGAAAAAAAAAAAGCTGCGGGTCCGCCTGGGTCAAGGGGGCACGGGGTTGGGGGAAGGGCGGGCAGGCAGGACCCCGGGAGGTCAATAACCGAAGCGGACTGGAGCTGAGCCCGGGGGCGAACGAGGAGAAAGGAACCTCAGAGTGCCCGAGAAGCCTCACGGGCGGGGGAGGCGTCCTTCTCCGAGACCCAGCACAAGCCCCGGGGCGATGAAGGCGCCGGACAGCCTCGCCAGGCGGAGAGGGCTGGGGAGGCGAGTCTGAGGAGGGGTTGGGAATGGCCGAGGCTCCGGGTTCAGGTCGGAAATGTGACCATCGAGAGCGGCCTTCCCATGCAGCTGTTAGGGTCCTCGGAGAGGAGCCTGCGAGGCGGGGAGACGCCTCCCAGTTCTGCCCTGCTCCGTGGCTGAGAGAGGGAGCAGCGCTTAGGGCGGGCCATCCTAGGCCGCAGCCTCAGGGACTGCTGGGTGGCGGCCGCTGGCCAGCGGGAGGGACCCACCGGCTGTGGAGGCAAGCCCTGGGAATCGCTGGTCTTTGCTCTGTCTCTGCAGCGGCCTCCGTGGGGTTAGAAAATCGTCCCTGCGCTCACCGGGGCGCCCCCTCCGCCGTGGTGATGATGGTGGTGGTGGTGAGGCTGCGGGGTCTGAGTGGGGTGCAGTAGAGGCGCTGTGGCCTGCAGGTGTGAGGCAGAGCCCGACGCCTGGTGATACCACGGGTAGTTGCCCAGAAAAGCCGAGGCTGCGCTGCTAGGACTGGAGCCTGAACTGCCCGCACCGCTGCCTCCGCTGCCCGGGCCGCCGCCGCCCCCCATCCGCTGAGGCGCGCCGAAGTCCCAGGAGGCCGGCGCCGAGACTGGAGGCGAGGCACACGGTGGCGAAGAGCTGGCCCCAGGGTGCTGCTCCGAGGGTATCTCCCCGCTTTTCCACATCTTTTTAAACTTTGATCGGCGGTTCTGGAACCAGATTTTGACCTTTGTGGAAAAAGGACCCGAGCATTAGTGGAGGAACCTGAGCAAGGGGCAGGGAGGGGAGGGAGCAAAGGAAGACCGCCGGTGGAGGTGGCTACTGAGCATCCTGTGCAAGTGAGCGAATTATTTGCGGCGGCCTCTGAGATTCTGTTGCGTCCTGCTCCATTAGGAGGTAATCTCAAAAAGCTAAGGATGTGCTGACTACAAGTGACTGAATGTAGTGCATAGTGGTGACAGCCGGAGGGTATCAGTAGAGCCGGTTATTTTACCCGCTTAATCAGTAGCAGGTCGACCTGTGTTACTAGATTTCTGCCTACCGCTGTCCCTTTCCTTGCCTTCCACGGGGCGATCCCTTGGGGATTTTCAGGTTTGGGCCTAGAGGTTTAGATTGCCCCATGTGCGAGCCTGGAAAAATCTAAAACTACTTAAAATATACTCTAAAACAAACAAAAATTGTCCACTTCTAGAACAACCCAGGCCAGCGCCCTCCTCGTCACCGTAGAGTGCGAGCCCCACCTGAGTCTGGGTGAGGCCCAGAGATGCCGCCAGCTCGGCTCGCTCAGGCAGCGCCAGATATTGAGTCTTTTGGAAACGCCGCTGAAGAGCCGCCAGCTGGAAACTGGAGTAGATAGTGCGGGGTTTCCGGACTTTCTTTGGCTTCCCATTCACTATTCGGATTTCAGGTTCGAGGTCTTCCTTCTCTGCAACGAAACGGAATCGTGAGAACCGCGCAGCCCAGGATTCTTGATTGCCTAAAGGGTTCAGCGGGAACTTGAAAAGACCCGGGAGGCGGGTTTTTGGAGATGTTGCTTGGCTACCGGCGCAACTTCCCAGCGCCGCGGGCTGGCGCCGAACCTGGGAGCTGAACCCTTCAAGGAAGGGGAAGACTGGCACATGCCAGAGAGTAAGAAGATGCAGATGGCAAGGAAATTCATTTACCCGTAGGCATGCACCTTGTGCCCACTGGGCCTTTGAGGCTACCGGGTCCCACCGTTCAGAACCGAGGAACTTAAACCTTGACTCACCGGGAGACTGGAAACTGGGTTGGGTAAAGGGCAGGAGCAGGCATTGAGTACGTAATGTGGAAGGTCAGGGTTCCGGACGGCCCCTCTCCCCAAACATATTTACCCCATCCATCCCAGTGACTAGACCGACTTAGCACCCTTGACACCAGCGTTATGCATACCAGGCTCGTTGTTCGCTGGGGACGAACTGGTCCCATAGGGCGCGTAAGAGGTGTAAGCAGCGGTGTAGCCCAGGTCGTAGCCGCTTTTGGCGGAGTAAGGGACATTGTTGAGGCCGCTGGCATGGTACTGGTAAGAGCCCATGTGCGCGTAGGGCGAGCCCCCCCCGCCGCCGCCGCCCGCCGGGTGCTGTTGGTTGGTGTAGTAGCTGCTGTCGGTAGCTGTGGACACCGGAAGGGTTGGCGACTCCTGTGGCTTGTGGAGGCTGCTGGTGTTGCTGTTGCTGCCGCCGGGGCCCGCGCCGCCGCCGCTCGGGGGCTGCTGGTGCTGGTGGTACGTGCTGGAGGCCGTGATCTGGGTCGAGTGCATATCAGCCACCAGACTGTCAAAGACTCCAGTCATCCTGGCCCGGGACGGGAAAGAGCAGGGGTGGCGGTCGTGAGGGGGAAGCGAGGCGCCTCCTCTGTCTCTCCCGGTCCCTTTCAGCAGCCAATGTAATTACTGGGAGGTGAAATGGGGGGTGGGGGAGAGGAAAACAAGAAATGAGGCAACGGTCTAGGCGCCTCCTCCTCTGGGGGAGGCTATCACCATGCGCTGCTTGGGACAGCTGCGGCGGGCCTCATACTCTCTCGGCCTCTCGGCCCTCTCGGCTCCTTGCCCAGCGCGGGCTCGGGCGGGGGGCGGGCAATGGAGGGGGCAGGGGTGACTGGGACCGGTCGGGCTCCAGGAGGCGGGAGCAGGTGAGCGGCCCGGAGCAGCTTTACGATTGTCTGCCAGGCGGGCTCCTGCAGGGTGGGCATTTAACACTTGTCACGTGAGCGCTAGCGACGTCACCTAGCAACAGCCAATCGGAAGAAACGAACCGTGGGGCTCCAGGCACCCGAGAACTCACGGCCAGGGGTGGGGGCGGGTGTCACATGGCGGGCACTGTGGCTGCGGCGGCCGCCAGTGCGTGCAGGCAGCCGCTGAAAGTGAGCAGAGACGCGAGGGAGTTGGGTGGGCGATGGGGGTGCAGGATGGCCCGCAGTAGGACAGAGGCGTGAAGTTAGAGACTGACATTTCACCCCAGAGGAAGAAGTGGGGTCTCCCATCCTATTCTGTGTGCAAAGGCCAATTCCAGTGATTTGTACCTTTCTGCCCGAGGTGGGTCGGTTTTCAAATATATTAATCAAATAAAGCAGTGCAGAGAGCCGGACCAGCAGTATCCCGCTTTTCCTGGCACTTGCTCTTGTCAGCCACTCAGCACTTGACAGTCAATTGATTTAAATTATCCATAAACCATGTATAATAATAACTACTTCCTAACCAACCCACGGGGATATTAGGACAATTAATTGGATAATATTTAAACGTTTTTTCCTTGTTGCTTGAGAGAAAAGCTATATAAACCCAAAGGTATTATTACTTTTCCTTGTACTTTCCTGACATGCTGAGGCTCTGAGTAATTATGTACATTTGATGGGTAATTGACACCCGGAAAGCGATCTCAGGGCTTCCTCTTTAGAGTGGAAAGACCAGCCAGACCAGATGGCCTTCAAAGTTCATTCTAACATCATTTAAATTCCACGTTTTTTACGGAGAAGGAAATGAAATAATCCTTAGGTGAGATTATAGATTTATCGTCTCAATACTAGATTCATCACGTCTTGCAACTTACAGCAAATACAAGTTTTATTTCATGCACTTAATTTAATCCTATTTTGCAGTTTTTCACTTTAGGATCCTGTTCTGCTCTATCATTGCACATACCCACCCCAACCTCCCCCCTTTTTTTCAGTCTTGGAGATCCTTCTTTTATTTTTTTAAAAAAATTTTAGTTGTAGATGGACACAGTGTCTTTATTTATATTTATATGGTGCTAAGGATCGAACCCAGTGCCTTCAACTCATGCAAGGCAAGCGCTCTACCACTGAGCTACAAATCCAGCCCCCTCCTTTTATTTTTAAAAATCGAAATCGAAATTCCTCTCTATCTCCATATCCTGTTGGTTATGAACGAACGAACGAACACACACACACACACACACACACACACACACACACACACAGGCCTTGCTGGACTTCCAAGGATGAAAAATCCTGCGGAGGCCCCTGCTTTGTGGCGCCACCTGGTGGACCGCGTGTGAGGTTGCGATGGGTCGTGTAGACGAACTAATCACGCCCAGGCGCCAGTCTCTGAAACCCCCCAAAAGAACAAAATAGTAATTAAAAGCCACAAAATTGTGCTAGTGCGAACCATCTGAAGCACCCTTTCCTAAAGATATAACATGTCGCTGAAAGAACTTGTTACAACAACTGCCTAATGGAAAACAAGTCGATACTTTGAAAAATACGGTCTTTGGTCTCTTCCCCAGAAAAAGCAAGTGTGTAATTATAACTCAAGCATTCACACAGAGGAATAACAAGGCAGGTAATGCGCCCTCCCGTCTGCCTGGATTTAGTTATTTTGGTTAAGAAAAGATGGGGAAAACGAGTTTAAATGCTTAGCAACGGGATACACCACCAAGGGACCCCTAAAGCTGCACTCTGCTTGGTGGGTTCCCAGTTTAAATTCTTGATGTTTAGTACAGATTGTCCTTTGGTGTCTTGACTTTAAAATCGTCTATGTCACTATTGTGGTAGCTGTTTTTATCTAATACAGAAGAAAATTTCCCTGAAAATGAAAATTTAAGAATGTAATGGCTGTCTTTCTTTTCTCTGCTTCTTTGTTCCCATCCCAAGCATGTCCTCTGGGCCTTTTCACTGTGGCAAATTTGTTGTATTTTATTTCTTTAGAAAACTCCACTAACAGCCTAAAGTCCAGGTCAGTTGCGATCTGGAAAATAGCATCTTTTTGGAATGAAATATGACTACAGCCCCCTTTATTTGGGGAAGTGGAAGACCAGAGGTAATGAGCAAGGGGAGGGGTGGAGAGGGAGAAAAGGAAAGGGAGAACTTAAACTGCATTTGGAGAATCAAGTAGAGACTTGAGGTATTAATTCTGACAATTCAGACAAAAATCTGGGTTTGCTGAAATTATCTGATCACTGCATCAGTATATCTACTTGATTTCCTTATTTTGGTCCAAAGGCAAGAGTACCATACAGAATGGGTACTTATGTCCACAGTTTAGGGTGGGATGATGCCCAAGGGAGAGTTTAAATCAAGTCTGGGGAGAAATTCAGCTTCCTCCTCTGTTTCAGGTCACTGTTTCATCTTCTCTGTTTTCCTGAGAGCCCCACATTTTTTTTGGTTGTTATTTATTTTAACATTTGTTCTAATTAGTTATATGTGACAGTAGAATGCATTTTGACACATTGGAGCCCCACATTCTTTAACTCAGGAGGACCTAGAGAATGATGAGGGAATTAGGGGTTAGGTGTCTTTGCTCCAGTTCTGTTTCAACTTCCCTATTAAGACTTTCCCTATTTTGATCCTGTTCCTAGCCTTGGTCTGGTCTGGGATTCTCCTTCCTCACCGCAATGGGAGTCTACCACCAACCTTTGTGCCAGACAGGGACAGAATCATCATTCCATTTTACAGATGAACATGAGGCTCGAGGACAGAAACGACCTTCTTTGAGTTAGGTGAACCACCTTCCTAGCCCACCAGATGCCTTTCTCTGTTGTACTGGGCAAAGCACGTGGGTATTTGCTGTAAGCCTTGGTTAAACAGCTCCCCATATCTACCAGCCCAAGATCTGGAAAGGGTAGGCAGGTTGGTCTACATCTTGCTTTCAAGCCACTGCCTCACTGCTGGCCTGGGTCAAGATTCCAGCTCTCAGTGCTTTATTCCTACTTGGTGTAATCTGCTGCACAGAATTCCAGCAGGTAGGGCTGTGGTGAGGAAAAGGGTGCTTCCAGCAGGGAGTGTGGGGTGCCCAATGTGTGCAGTGGGCCCAGGCCCATTCTCACTTGCCTATCCCACTGGAGATCCACACACCTGCTACTGGACTGTCCCATGTCTCTCAGTCTGCCACTCTCATGGAGGATCCCTATGATGATCCCTATGATCCCTATGATGGAGGTTTCTAGGCTTCAAGAGGCAATACTTGTTTTGGTACCATCCTTCATATTTACATTATCAATGTAATAGCTCTAAGAACCCAAGGTTTCAATTTCCTTTGGGGTTGGTCTTAGAACTCAAAGACTTTGGGAAAAGGCAGAGATTTGGTTTTTGAGAACTTCCTAGCTCTGCCTTTCTACCACCAAATTGAAGGTGATCCTGTTTTTCTGTCATTGGTCAGCAGCTTTTAGAAACAACTGTCCTTTTACATTGCTGTGTCCTTAATGCTGTTTTTTGGCTTTTGAGCCTAATGCAGCCTGGAGGGACCCCGGAAACCATCAAGTTTCCACAAACTCTAAGACCCTTAGGTGGATATGATCCTTGACTCCCAGCTCTGTATCCTTGAGGGGGATATCTATATATATATAATTCAGCGAGAGGAGAGGACACAATGGAAACTCACCAGAGAGAACTTTCCTGAGGGTGCGATTCCCCCATGAGGGAGTGAGTGGTCCTCTGTTTCCCGTGTAGTCACCAGGGACATCCTCACCTCCCCTTTCAGCTCAGGGATTGTCTCGGATTTCCACATTCTTAGGGGGTCCTACGTTCTCTCCCTCCCCACCATTCCCTGTAAGCTAGAGACTCTCAGTCAGCCACTCCTGGTGCCAGGCGCTGGGGGGTCCTGACTTCCCTCCAGTGGTTTACTGGCTAATGAAGAAAGCAATTGCCAGCGTTTATTTATTTATTGAGCACTTACTGAGCACCTGGCGTGCCGCCAAGCCCTTGTTATCTCCTGGGAATCCCCTAGGAGGCAGGTACAGAACCATCTCCGCTGAGGAAACCAAGGCTTAGAAGGAACCGCTTGCTTTACCGGTATGCAGCCGAGTCCGTATCGAGTCCGTATTCGAGCTCAGGTATGGGCCACAGGGACAAGATTGTTGTTGCTCGGGACTTTAAGTTTCTGCCCACGGATCGCTAGAGAAGGCTGCATCACCACCTCCCTTTTCTGGGCCTAGTGCTGCACGCTCAGTGGGACAGATGGGAAGGGGCATCGGCCTTCCTAAGGTCGAGTCACTCCCCGCACCCCCGGAGCTCTCGGAGCCGGAAGCGCAGGTTCTGTGGCGGGACCGGGAGGTGCGCGGGCTGTGCAGGAGATAGCACTGTACCCACCCCGGGAAGATCCCCAACAGAGACAGAAGAAAGCATACCTTCCCACTGCCAAGCCGAACTTCAGGGACCGAGGCTTCATCCTGGTTGGGAATTTGTCCCTTTGCTCCCTGCCGGGGTGTGAGCAAACCCCAGGAACTTGAACAAGAATGAGCGGGATAGTCCATGATCCCAGCCATGACCCCTCCACGGCAGTGGATGGCCACTTCAGCATGCTTCTAGAACTCTCAGTACCAATTTTGCCATTTGCCTCCTAACCGATCAGAGTCAACCCTATTTCACTTAATTGTCGATTAAGTGACAGAGTTCCCCAACCTCTGAGGCACTAAGCTTGTGGCCCAACCGTGGGATATGAACACATGGGCCCCAAACTCAGGGTATGGGTGGGCTAGCGTCGGAGGGAGGGAGAAAGGCATTCTCCTTCGAGGACTAGAAGCAGCCAGATCTCGGTGCACAGTCGTGTGGTCTAGGAATGCAGAGGGAATGTTACCTTTCTCCCACCAAGTATAATGGCTCCAAATACTCAGACTGTTGGGAAGTTCATTTTGAATGTTCAGGAGCACTGACATTGTGATGACAGGTGTGCAAATGGTTCAAGGTTTGTTCTTAAACCTGAAGGAAG